ACAAGTTCAGCTCCTTTTATTTTTTATCATGCCTTACGTATGGGGGAACCCCTTTGGTTCTTCAAATACATCCCTAAATGACTCTAGCACTACCCTTAACTTTAGTGAGGCTTGCTGGTTTATTTCTATACCAAAATTTTTTATTTCCCACGTTTTAGGTTCAATCAAAGCACTTAATTAAATCCAATTAAGTGATTGCTCGATAAACAAATACTTCTATCCACTTTTCTCTCTTCTCTCGCTCTTGCTTCGCTAACATATTTTCCCAGTAATGCAAATAATTTATCATTCCTTTTAAATCTCATCTATATGTATTGAAAATTCCAAGTGATATCCCCTAATGCATAAAGCTAGGAAACTCCTAGAATCATACCATACAACCCTAAATGCATTATGAAAAATGAGGTCTTAAAATTTTCTCTGTGCATCTTTCACTTAAAATTCTTACATATGTAATCATATTTAATGTCACCACCATCAGCTACCCTCATTATCATTGCTTTAATTTGAATAAGATCACAATGATTTTTTCCTTGCAAACTCCAAATCTACAAAATTATGTGTACTTTTAGTGTCAATCGGAACATTCATTCTTTTTCCTTGCAAATTCCTTATGACCTTCATGGTTTGGTAGTGCTCCCAACCAAATATTGCTTGTACTAATATATGATAGAGTTCCCCATTGTATCTTCCCATATCCTATGTTTCTCCACCTAACACTTCTTCTTTAATTACATTAGTCTCTCTAATATTAACCCCATCTTCCTTTACTTTTAGCATTAACATCTACCTTCCTTTACATCTATGAGTAGGAGTGTATTTTTCATCACAAAAGTAGCATAGTCCCATTAAGCTCCTTTCATCCACTTTACTCGTTATTAGATAACCTCATGGTTCTACATACCGAGTTACTATTTTGAAATTGAGTTAGCAAAGGTAATAGGCCATTTTGGTTATTTGTAGGATTATTAGAATGATTAACTAGTACATTTTGGTATGGAGAATGTGTAAATTTTTTCTTGGCGACATTGTTCATTCTTGAATTGAAAAAGGAAGGGTTAGCGTTTGGTTTGTAGTTGAACAAAAGAGGGATTCAAACATTGAATCTACTAGAACTATGGTGAACGAGTTAGATTAGTTTCTTGCAGTTTAGTTAAAGCTACGACATCTTTAAGACTTTTTGGCCTCGTCACCCTTATTGGAACTTATAACTTAGGCTTTAAGCCTCCAATAAAATAGCTAATGACATAGTCCTCAAGTAAAACCAACATATTAACAATAAAAATGAATTTTTTTCAGAAATTCGGGCATCCCGAACTTGTTTTATTCCCATTAATTCAGCCATAGGATCACTAAATACCATAACATTGAAACGAATGCTCATGGATTCAACATAATCCTCTCATTTAATTAGTGAATGACTTTTATTCATTATCATGAAAACTCGATGCCATTCTAAAGCTTCTTCTTTTGAGTGTATGGTAGCCAAGTTCACTTTGGCATCCTTAGGAGTTTTATCAACCATAAAAAACTTCTCACAACTAAAAGTCCATCCCTCAAAGTCCTCTCTATAAAATTTTGGAAATTCCACCTTAGACATTCTAGTGTTGAAATTATACCGCATACTACCCCTTACACCATTGTTATTTCCAAAACTAGCATTTATTCCATTCATTGAGTAACCATATCTAGGAACTTCATAATCTCTATCATTTAAATTTCCTAGCTCCTCCTTAGTTTTACCATTCCTTTTCTCATGTACTCGTAATCTTGAGTTCAATAAGTAATTCTTTCAATTCACCAATACCATGATCAAGCCTTGAAAAAACCAAATCACATCTATATGTAAGATCAATGATTACCTTAGTGAGTGTAGTAATCAATTCTTCTATCTTTTTAAGATCGACATTTCCTTTTGCCATGATTGATGTTGATAATGTTCCATATGTAAGAGAATCGTGCTTTGATACTAATTGATGTAATCCAGATTTCGAGTAACTAAGAAAAAGAATATGATGCAAAAATGAACTATTCTTGGATGTATTGAATTAAAACGAGTTCTTCAAGTACAATCAAATAATGAAATGAATCAATGATTGACACCGATTGTAAGAGCTTTGTCATTATTACAAGAAAAAATTAAAGAGAGAAAAAAACAAAGAGAATCCTAGAGATAGAAAATATAGAAAGAAACATCTAGAGAGAGAGAAAACATAATTATTGCCTAAAAGATTACAAATGAACCTCCATCCTCTTATAACAAATTTTTCCCTAGGCTAACTAATTCTCTAACCGATTCTTGTAACTTCTCTTTAACAAATTCCAGCTCACACTTCCATAGCTCATAGTGACACTACAACGTAAATATCATCCAAGCATTATCATCTTAATATAAGCCTTGTATTTCATATAATAGCCAACTCTTCTATTATTGATCGAACCTACAAAATAGTCATATAAACAACTACAATAGTAACAACAATCTCCCATAATAATGAGAGAGAAGAGATGAATTCACTAAAGGAAAAAGGGCATCAAAATGAGCCTTGTCACGAGAGGATGCCGAATTCAATTGTAGTAGTAGAAGTGGTCATAATTAGAAGTAATGAGTCTATAGTGTTTGGCTTGGAAAAGGACTAATTGGGAGGTCATTGGTGTTTGCAAGATGGCAGATACAAAGATAGGGAGAGAATGGAAAACCCTAAAATCCGGGAGAAATAAGAGAGAGCCCGATTTGTAATAGAAAAGAGAAGTGTAAGCATGTAGAGTGATAAATATTGTTCTAAAAGGATCACAACATAACTAGATAGAAAACAAAGAGGTTGAATCCAATAGATATATTTTAAGTATTTGTTATGGTTTAGACACCGAAAGAGTAAACGAACTGGAAGAGAAAATAATTATTTCTTTCCATATGTGAAGAAACTTCCACATGAAAAGAAAAGGAGCAAATGTTATACTAAAATTTAATATGGAATTTTCTCAACAAATTAGAAGGAAAGAACCCAATGAGTTCTTTGATGGGTTCTTCTAAAAAAGTGTTTTCTTAACTTTTTTTTTCTTATTGGCTTCACTAAAACTCATTCTCTAGTCGTCACTCGCAAGTATCATATTTGTTTAAGACCCATCACTTACTCACGGTCCGTAAAATCCAATCCAAATGTCATAAACTAGAAGACTTGCAACAATCGAAAAACTAGTAAGAGACATGCAAGGCATGGACTCTTAATAAACCAAATCATAAGAAGAAACATGGAAAACAATCATTAATTAATGGAAGAATCAATTAGCAAGTAATTAGTAAACGAATAACATAAGTTTAGCATCAATAAAAGTATGATCCAAACAATTAAAAAAAAAAAAAAACAAGACATTACCACACAAGAATAACGTAACAACTATAAAGAACATAGTACATTACAATGCGAGAAAAAAAGCTAAGGAAAAACACGGAGCACTACTAGATGCATAGTAAAATACATTAAAAAAAAAAAAAAAGTGATCCACTATAATAGACCATGGAGGAACAAATTTTTTTTATAAATACTAGCTATGGTGCAAGGACAAAAGACATAACAATACAACACATAAACAAACTCTTGTAAATTGAAAACAGACTCAAGAGCACTTTTTCAAGTTTCAATAAACTTGAAACTTATTAGGTTATATTTAGCTAGTAGACAGTAATTTATTGACACTAATCAAGTTGGTTGATAATTTGTAATCTAGCAATGATCTTGATCCGCAATTCCTTCAAGAATTGTTGTTTAGAGTGCTAATTTGTAAATTTGACTGTTTTTTTAGTACCGTTAAAGATATTAAGCTTTTCTTTCTTAGGTTATTGTTAGTATTGCAATCCTATTTTAAGAGTATTTTAATAATTTGATCTCTTAATTTTTATTTGGATTTGTTATTTTGACTCGTATATTAACGTAAAAGTTTGAATTTTTAGTTTAGAATTATCATTGTTACAAATTGTTGTCTTTACAAAGTTGCAACCTAACCAAGTTGGACAGTTTGCAAGCCACTGTCAAGAGTTTGCAGAATGATTGCAACTTGCTTAATTTAGCTTTATATTAAGATAAAGCGCTAAAAATATAATTAGAACAAGCATTATTATATTTAAGCATAATTAATTAAGTTTATTTGCTTTCAAGTCTGGAAGATAAAGTGGCTACTTTGGAAATAACTATCCAACTATTATTTTTTATTATAATTTTTTTTATTTGAGACAGAAAAAAAAAAAAAAAAACTCACAACAAAGTTAAATTGATGATCGTAGATAGCTATTTCTAATGTATTTGGTTTTGTTGCTATTCTATTCTGAAAAATTGGCCATTTTATGTCTATATTAGACGATGTTAAAATCTCCACCAGAAATCGTTCAAAGTCATGCTCCTAGGGAAAAAATCACGATATCACGTTTTAGGTGCTTTTTGTTGATTAGCAACAGATGATTAAAAGATGGGTGTAAATCGCAGTGATTACCCAGAATGCGACGGGTGCTTGAAACGCTGAAATAACAGATCATATCTCTTAACCTGAGGCCATGTTTATGATACAATCTTGGAACCAAGAACAACTTTCTGCCATTCAAATCATTCGAAAAGAACAGAACAGCCAAGACCAATTCGAGAGAATTGTTTGGAGATTTTTGTAGACGAGAAATAATAACTTCTTCTGTAAAATTGTTTTGCACATGGCGAATTTGGGGTGGTTCAGACAGGTTAATTTGCCAGCCCTCTGACTCACAAAGCTCTCCAATCCATTACAGAGGATAACACTCTGCCCATTTTGGAATCGAGAAAGAGAGAGTACTGAAACTGAGGTATTATGTATAGCTAAAGACTACAGATGGTTCGTTTACTTCGTTATATTATGGTACATTTATGTTACGTGAATTTTGCACATGCCAAAACAACACTTGTCAGTGAGATCTTTCATTTGTGTTCTCTTCCTTCATGGTTAGTTACAGTACTGATGATATGATTCGATTCGGACTACTTACGGTGGGCAGAAAACCTCCTCCTTTTGGTTGAATGCTTTCGCAAGTTCTGGCGCATCAAGGCCCGTGTCTTGCCATCAGGTTTGAGACCGCGCTTAAGCATTTTCATGTACAGCTTTTTTGCTGATTCATTCTTGCCTCCTAAACGCATTCCATGGATGACAGCATTGTAGGAGGAGACATCTGGCGCAACTTGCTGCAGGCCAAATGAAATTTGTCAGTCATTTCTGAACAATTTGCACTTGGCATTTAATTCTTAACTTTATAGGAGTATAGACTTGAAACAGCAGTTCACATAAATTCTTTACCTCTCTGCTCAGTTAATATCACAACAACTAAGGTAGAAGATGATATGGGTGAGGAACTAAATTGTTCCACTTCATCTACAGAGGGAAGGTTGTCAGTTCAAGAAATTTGACTATAGACACGCAAAACTTTCTATGAGTGTGAAAGTTAATAAAGATATTTTATTATCCTGATTCCTTAACAGGGTTCAGACAGTGTAAATGAGTTCATTAAAGAGCGAACTCAGAGAAAAGCAAAGCAAAGTTCATAAAGAGTGAAGGCCTGAAGATAAACTATAGTAATCTTAGTATGAGGTTATTCTCCAGCACAAAATTTCAGAAATAAACTTACATCTAGAATTTCTTCCACTTCATCCCAAAGAGATGCCCAAATGCAACTTCTTATCAAAGACAAATAAGTGTAGGTGTCTGGAGTGCACCCCTGGTGAACCATGTGCTCATAAACTTCCAGTGCAACTTTTGGCTTTCTAGCAACTTCACAAGCACCAATAGCAAGATTATAGGATGCTGTCGAAACTGGAAGTCCAGAAGCTTCAACCTGCCATAAAAGCTGAAGAGCTTTATCCCACAAACCGAGCTTCTGGCAAGACATTAGAACAGTGTTGTATAAATGCTCATTCAATTGACAGTCTTGCTCTCTTTTTATTCTCTCAAAGAGCCGAAGAGAATCAACATGTTGATTTGCCCTGTGTAGACCGCTAAGTAATGCATTCCATGTATATTCATCAGGTGTATGACCCAAAGATTTAAAAATTTCAAAGACCTTAAATGCTAGTTTTATCTCCCCAGCTTTCCCGAGTAAATTAATCAATGCATTACAGGAAATAAGATTTGGCTTCAGGCCATGATTCAACATATTTTGGAAGACATTCAAAGCCAAGTCCCATTTCCCCTCCTTTGAGCATGCACCGATTACAGCATGCATTGTATCCTCCCTCGGTTTTAATGCGTTCTGAACCATCTCTTTGTAAGCATCAAGCGCTAACTCACTCTGGCTACAACGAAAGAAAATGCTAACTAACAGCGAGTAAGTAATTTGCGTTCCATGATAGCCATTTTCCTTCATATTCCTCCATATTCTCTGAGTTTCAACCCAATTGTTCTCCCTGCCACAAACAGAAATTATTGTGTTATAAACAATTACATCAAAATCCTTCTTCCCTCTGGAAAATGCTTCCAATTCAGCAAACATATCAAGTGCTGAATCACAACCCTTAGTACTTGCAACCGTTTTAAGCATTAAGCTATATGTATGGCCTGTTGAGATCTCATTTTTCTTTATGAACTCAAAAACTCTCAATGCATCTTCAACCAGTTCATGTCTTACAAGGCAAGAGAGAAGAGAGTTACAAGCATGTCTGTGAGGTTGGAGGCCTGAGAATTCCATGGACTTAAGCAATTCCAGTGCACTTCTAACCTTGTTAGATCTGCTAAGCATCAAAATCCTTCTTGATAACTCATTTTCATCAGTTTCCTCTAAAAATGTACCCTACTTTCATTCACAGCAACCCTATTGTTTGAAAGTGATGGTGACTGAACAACTTTTTCATTATTAATATCTGATCCCTGCTGAACCATCAATTTTTCAGGCAAATTCTGTCCACAAGAATTCATGTCCAATTGGTCTTTTCCTCTCTCAATCAATTCTTGTTCTTCCTTTTCATTGCAAACCAACTCGGAATTTTCACTAACAATTCCCCAAGGAGGTAATTTTTGTCCAAGAGAATCTACATCAAATTGGTCAGTTCCTCTTCGAACCAATTTTTTTTGTCTGTTTTCTTTGGAAACAAACTCAGATGCATTACAAGCAACCACGCTTGATACAGCAAACAAATTTCTGGTTTTAATGGACCCATATTGCAAACCCATCTGAGGCATCTTCAATCGAAAACATCCAAACCAAGTATGCCCCTTCATCAACATGGAAGCCCCATTGAGCTCACATATTCCCAAGTGAATTCTGCTTGTTTTCATAGCTGAACAACCATATCCACCACAACAATAACCCCTACAACAATTCCTATCTTTACCATTGTTGGGCAAATACAAACCCTTTTGACAAGCAAGCCCATGCCATTTCATAGTAACTGGAATTGAAATCCTCAACAATTCCCCCATATCTGAACTAACATAACATAAAAAATGAAATAAGCCAAAATTCAATTCAATCAAAATCCTCTAAAAAAAGAACAAGCCAACTTGGAAACATGCCCCAATTGCATTATACGCAGTATATGAACCCTTTCATAAAAGAAAGTTACCATCTTTCCTCTCAGAATACTAAACCACCTGCAACTGGAACTACTTTCATTTAAAATACTATAAAGTATAAAAAAATAACATCAAACCGACAAAAGTTAACAATTTGGGCACTTACAAGACAGCAAGAAGAGTAAGAAATGAACCAACCATGTAGCTTTCAGAAACAACCAAATGGAGGAGACCCGTCTTGGTTTCAAATTCTTTTCTTATAAAGCACTATCTCAGTAGAAACAACGAAAAGTTAGCTCCTTTGTCTATCCTGAAAGGTGAAAATAGCTTTAGAAGGTGGGAAGAGAGAGAGAGAGACAGAGAGGAGGAGGGAGAAAGTATAAGACATAGGATTATCTGAAGGCAAAAATTATTATAGGAAGGGGCAAACGGAGCCGTTTCTTAGGTGCAATCATCAGTAACCACATTAAACGTGACCGTTTTGTGCCTCTTTATAGCGCAGCTTGCTTTTCACTCCTTCGTTTACAAAACAAAGCCCTCTCCTTTGCCATAGTAAGAAAAGAGAGAAAAAATTGCAAGAAAAAAGGGCCAGTCTTTCTCTTTGTGGAAGAAGTTTAGCTAATGGGTAAGGTTCATTTACCTTTTTTGTCTTGGAAATTGTTTAAAGTTGGTTCTAGTTTTATTTCTTGTTCTAAAGTTTATTTATTTTTTATTGATTTTTTTTACATGCATAACATGTTTTCTAGCAGAGGAAGGAGGGGAAGAAGAAGTGTTTCAAGTGGAATCATCAAAGATAGAGAAGGTGGAGGAGGTGAAGGAAGGAGTAGCTTCTATAGCATTATTGCCATCTGGGTCCATTTCTGGTCACTTCATTCAGCTGCCTCACTCCATTTGCTATGGCCTTCATGGCACTGGTACTACACCTAAGCCCCATTTCTCTATGTATATGTATGTACTTAAATGGATGTTTATGTAGGACCATAAATTGTTAATGATTTGCCTATTGTTACTGATTCGCCTATTCCCCTAGTACTTTGACGGTGAGGGGATCACTAATTTGCAAAGTTGGTTCCCGGAAGACTGCTAAAAGTGTTTTGGAAGAGTCTGATGTGTTAATAATATTTTGCTCTCAAATTGCTTTATAATATCACCACAAATTTGGTTTTATTAGTGTTGTTTGCGACGAATTTAAATTCATCAGTGAAAATTAGTGCTTTTAGAGTACATGATTTACATTGCATAAAGATGCTAAAATTTATAGGAGGCATGTTTCTTAATATTTGGTTTTTGCTATTTTCTTTTTCCTGTTTTCTGCTGTAGTTGATTTTGTGGAAGAAGAAAAGGAAAAACAGGTTATTTTCTTTCTTCATGCAGGAAGTAGCTTAACCTATTCAGATTTGTAAAGTCATACTGAAAGCTTTTTGCTGGTTTGAAGGCTCATTCCAGCATACGTTGTCATGCCATTAGACTTTCTGGCTGTTTCATGTGCGTACTTCGCGCCAAATTCATTTGATGCACTCAAGCAGTCATTACACTACCTGATGATAATTGCCGTTTGCACTGTTTGTGGGGTCATAGATTTAAACTTGGCAATGATGATATGACCTGTAATATTATAAAAAGGAAATGTATGTGTTACTTGCTGAGGATTCCAACATTCAAATAACAAGTGAATCCATGTGTTTGGACATGCTGGGAGATATTATTTCATGACCTGGTCTGTTAGACCAAACGAATCATGCTGGGGTACACCAGGTTGGACATATTACCATTGATGTGCAGTATGATTGATTTGGTTTACATAAATGTACACAATAATTCCCTAGGATGTTTCTACATCTTAGTGATTCTTTCTTGAAACAAAATTTGCTTGGCTAAATGTGGCCAACTTCTGTAAGAATTAGTGGTGAAATTTCCCTCCAAAAAGTCTTACTTTCGATGTTTCTGTAATTCTTTCCCATTCTAAAATATTTTGTCTATGGTGAAAAGAGTTAGCTTGTGAAAGGGAGTGTAGCAGAGGTGAGGATTATCGCCTGCTCAAGCTTACAATCAGTGACTTCAATGTAAGGCCTGCTTGTTTCTTTTATTTTCCTTCCTGCTGTCCTTCCTTTCTTTCTTCCAGACTGTAGTTAACCCCTTTTATCCTTTTGATTGTCTCTAATGAACATATAACAGAGTGGGAAAGAACAAGATGTTGTAGTTGAGTGTAAAGGCCATGATGCTGCTCGATTCTGTAACGTAGAACATGCTCATGGGTAAGCCATCTTGGATTTCCTGTTTATCCTAGACTTTTCTTGGGAATCAGTTCCATTTCATGACTTATGTTAGGGTTTCTTTCTCCCTTTTTTTTTTCATTTTTTTCCAAATAAACTTTGAAAGGATTTAAATTTGTTTGAGTAATTCAAGCTAGTTTATTATCTTTTGTATTTACACTTCATAATTAGCATGTATATGCGAATGTTACATATGTTTCAGTAATCAGATTATGTATAAAATAGCAATCATAAACTTCAGTCGAGTAATTGTTGGTTATACCAGCTTTGTTCTGATAGATTTGTTATCAGTTATAACAGTTCCTATGATTAACTCAAGCATAGGTTGTGAACCTCCATATGTTTCTCGGAAATTATTGAATTATTATATAAGCTCGATTCTGATCGAATTTTGTAACAACTTACACCACTCGCTCAAATTAAAAACCTTTATCCGTTTGTGCTTACTACTAGATGCATCTCTAATACTGAAACCGGTATTTGTTTCTCTGTTCAAATATGTACTCTTGTTGATGATTATTGCACTAACATGTTCTATGTCGTGTGTTATAGCTGGGAAAAGGACATTGTAGGTATGGTAGAAGAAAAGCATGGGAAGAAAAAGATTCTTGTTTCATTTGACTGCGAGACACTGAAAGCTGATAAAGCAGCCGAAGACCATATCATGAAGTTCATGCCAAAATTAGCTGGACTAGATGTTGTTGGTATGTATTCTATCTATACTTGCAGTCCATTGGATTTTTAAGATTTGCTACTTTGGATTCTTTATCAACTCTAGTGAAATTCAATCCTCATGCAGCATTACATGCACATGTTCAGCATCTAAACTTTACCATGTCTTCTGATTGAATCAGCCAAATAATGGTTTAGTTTGACCATTTTCTAATTGGGAACTCAGAATTGATTACTTATTAGATCGCATAAAACTGTGTTTGTGCGAGAAGATTTTACTGTAATGATCAATACAAAGGTGCTAGAATCATTTTAGCTGCTACATATTAACCATATTTAAAGCTGGTGACATACTGTTAAACTATGATCAATGCTTGTTAAGCTCAAACCATGTGCTAGCCGATGTTCAAAAAAATAAAAAAATAAAAACAATGGTGCTAGCTCTTGAATTGGGAAATATATTTTCTTCTCACCTTTAAGGATTTTGGCAGTCAAAACTCCTCCCTTTAATTTTCTTGTCTGTCTCCCACATTTGAAACAAACTTAGCCCGCATTTATTTACTGTTTAATTATGATCAATGCTTGTTAAGCTCAAAAAATGTGCTAGCTGATGTTAAAAAAGAATTAAAAAATAAAAACAATGGTGCTAGCTCTTGAATTGAGAAATATATTTTCTTCTCACTTTAAGGATTTTGGGAGTCAAGACTCGTATTTTCTTTTCTGTCTTCCATATTCATAACAAATTTAGCCCACAATTATTTCAATTAACAGAGAAAAGTGCTAAAGCATGCGTTTTTGTGATTCCACTTCAAATTTCTGAACTTTGAAGCTTTTCCAGATCAAGCTGAAGTAATTAACAATCAATTTTACAACAGTTTCATTGTTCACAAGTTTGAGTGTATTCATTCAGTCCCTCCCTGACCACGTCTCATCCTCAAGTTATAGATAATGACAGAAGTATATGTATTGAATTATGATCATGTCTTGTTGGTTCTTATTCTCTTTTCACATTGCAATATGGTGTCCCAAGCATGCATCTTTTAGGTATTTCTACAGCTTTTGCTTCACTTGAGACATTACATGAAATGTTTAGAGCATGAAAAGCCTTGTTAAATCAATTAACTAAAGTTTGAAATCGTGCAGTTAACATTGGGCGGATGAAAATTTCAGGATTGGATTTTGAAGTAGAGGATGCTGGCATTAAGCAACCTACATGATTCAATAGATATACCTCTTTCCTTATCTGTACATGCTACTGCATACTATACGTTAACCTATGACAAGAAACTAGTTAATCATATGCAGCTTATCTTAGTACCTATTTGCCATGTGTCTCAAAATAATCAATTTAATGCTTTCGTTATGTTATTTGCTGGAAATCAAAACATGCACTTTGTAAATAGGGGCTGTTCATGGGTTATGGCTTCATTTCCTGAAAAACTGATTTTTTTTTTTTTTTTTTTTAAGCCAGTCTGTCCTATCATTCGCAATACAGCAAATCTTTGCAGATAGATTCAACTTGAGGACTCTGTTACGCACATACTTTGCATTACCTTACATTCTTTCATTGATTCCGGGCAGAAAGAGAGAACATTGAAATAAATTTTTCATTTCCTGTAATTGCTATAAATTCAGAGTCAAACTGCTGCACTTTTTCACTCAGACCTACTTATATCCATAGTTTGCACAAAAAGAAAACTAAGGGCCAACTTTCTAAGGGCAATTTAATACCGTCAGCATCATCCTATTTAAGTTTAAAGTAAAGACAGTGTTAGGCTAAATTATATTAGTGTGCCTACGAGATATAAAAATGACTAATAAAAACTATACTAAAAATATTTAAACAAATAGGTTTTATTTTTATTAAATGATTTGTGACCTCTTAACTTATACAACATGTGAACATATTTTTTATGAAAGTAATTCTTAAGCTAAAAAAAATAGTGTAATATATATTTACAC